GCAAAGAAGTCGTTTATTTAGTTTTAGTTACACCAACCTAGGCGAGAGTGATATAAATTAGAATCTGAAAAATCTCTGCCTTAGTGAAAAGTTTTTCTTTTCAGCAGCTGCCCTGACTGTGAGTCCCAGCAGAACTCAGTTCTTCGGTAGAGAATCTTTGTCTCTGAGCTGTGAGGAGAACAACAGCTCTGCTGGATGGACTGTATGGAGGAACACCAATGGAACCAGGATACAGTGTGGAGATGGATGGGGGAAACCAGCTGCTTTTACCTGTAACCTGAGCTACTTGTACCCATGGGACAGTGGAGTTTACTGGTGTGGGTCGTCCAGAGAGGGAGCAGCCAGCAGCAGCATCCAGCTCACTGTCACTGGTAAGATCAGACTGTGGAGTTAGTGTTGATGAAGCTGTGTGGAAATGGATGAAATGCTGTAGTTTGTCTCTGTGTTGAGGTGGATCAGTGATCCTGCAGAGTCCTGTCCTCCCTGTGATGGAGGGAGATGACGTCACTCTGAGCTGTCTAACAAAGACCACTCCCTCCAACCTCCCAGCTTCTTTCTATAAAGATGGCTCCCTCATCAGGACTGAGCCCAAAGGTCACATGACCCTCCACCATGTGACCAGCTCTGATGAAGGCCTCTACAGGTGTAACATCAGTGGTCATGGAGAGTCTCCATCCAGCTGGATCTATGTTCAAGGTCAGCGGCTTTAAAGTAATTTCACCACTGATAAAGTCTTCCTATTAGGTCTAAATCTCTTTACATGTGAACACACAGCTCAGCCCATATCTCAGGGTCCACCTATATTCATAACTCCAGAGCCAACTTGTTCTTCAGTAACCTCAAGTCTTGGCCTCCATGTTTTCATCCGCCTGGTTTTGTTCTGTCTTTACATCATTTCCACTTTACTGATGATCTTTTTATATCAACAAAAAAACACAGGTAACACTTTCATTTCCTTATCAGTTGATTTTTTAACTACTTAGCTATATAATGAAGATGGCTCGCAATGTTTAAAATGTCTGTAAATGTTTCCTACAGGAGAAGATCTCCCAATTTCAGTGGCTACAACTTCCTCCAGTCAGGCTGAATAAAGACAGGATGATGTGGATGATTGCTTCATTACTTCTGTGACCATAAAGCATCAAGCCTTAGTTCTGGAATTTCACGTTGACAGTTTTCAAGAAAAAATAGAGAGCTAAATATGCACTTTGGAGGAACATTGTGTGTTTCAGTTTAATTGAATGGATAAAATATTCAATGTAACCCTTAAAGTGGTAAGAATTACTGATTCAACTTTATATATCAGAAAAAAACATTTATGTATGTATGTATAATACATTTTTACATCATAAAATGTAATGCCTATGTTAGCAGGCTGGTTTATCCTTTTCTATTTGCTTATTGAGTTTCTTTTTCATTGTCACTGTGGATGAACCTTAAGTACTTTAATGCAAAACTGATATGGCATAATATGTTGCTATACGTTAATTTCTGTGGGTCTGAATACGTCAACTGCATTTTAGAGATCATTGTGCTATGTAGCCTTTGCTGGTTCGGGTGATTTAAAATAATCAACTGAATAACAGAATAGTGTGTTCAACTAAATGAAACCACAGACAATACCTACTGCTTGTCCCATCTCACTTTACCACGATTATTAGTGTCGCCTTGGCCTCTGTTTCCATCAGTGTCTGGTCTAACAGCAATAGCACCAACATTTATGACTGAGTTGTCTGCTTTTACCTTGTCTTCTTCTGTTTCAGCAATAGTAGCTGCCTTTGAGCACCACTCTTACAGATATCCAAAGAACCCCTACAGTTTGCATTGGGATGTTTTATATTAAAAGCTCAACCAGCTACGAATACTAGTAAACTAGTATTTATGATCTTTAATCTGTCTTAATGAGTTTTAAGTCTTTGAGGCTGAAAAGCCTCAGTGAAATTACCATAGTCATTGACTTTGTCGCCTGATTCTCTATCAGCTTTCAATGAAGACTCTGCTTTAGTAAAGGGTAATTTCACTTTCCAGTAGGACATGCCATGAAAATGTCTTTGATTTCATTGCTTCCAGAGGCATGAATTATTGAGTCTAACTTTATGTGTGAAAATAAATTATTTACATGCTAAAGCAACAAAAACACCTGTCATAATTTGTTCTGTACCCCCTGCTTTCTGCAACCTTATTTTTACCTGCAGTTTCTGATTCCTCAGTTGTAGAGTAACTTTGATGATACATCTATAGGGCAGCAGCACAGTGTTACAGAGCTTCCATGATGGATATCCTGGTAAATGGTAAATGGCATGTACTTACAGTATATAACGCGTTTTTTCAAGTCAGGAGACTTGACCAAAGCACTTTACACTACATTCATTCACCCATTCACGCACACACTGATGGTGGCAAGCTACATTGTAGCCACAGCTGCCCTGGGGCTCACTGACAGAAGCGGGGCTGCCGTACACTGGCGCCACCGGGCCCTCTGACCACCATCAGTAGACAATGCAGGTGAAGTGTCTTGCCCAGGGACACAACGACACTGAAAGTCAGAGTCTGGACTTGAGCCATCAATCCTTTGATTTTAGGGCAAACTCCTACATCCAACGCCACTGCCGCCCCGATATCTTGTCCTTAAGGGGTCTGGAGAACAACAACCAGATTTGCAACATTTACCTCACAAGGATTCTCTCAGAGTCCAGGAGAATCGGAAGCCGAGTACTAGAATAGATGGCTCACAAACTGGTTACTGGAGATAGGAGGGATAATACTTAGGTTGGAACAAAGTACTTAAGGTACTAAGTAGTTGCAACAAAGCAGATAAGCATTATTATCAGCTGTAGTATCTGCCTGATGGTCTCAAGCCAGGTAGTCATACTTTGCAGGAAAGGTGAAAGGCAGCATCTCCCTGAAATTAGTTTTTAGAACTTGGGATGTCTGTAACATGTGGTGGTGCGCTGTCACCAATGGTTCCATTGAAGGTGCGCAGTCATTATTTTTCCATGTGTGATGTGTGATCATATACTACTGAGAATTGCATAATTGCTTATGGAACTGTTGCCGTATCCTGAACCCTTATAACGTTTTGTACTTCATATGTGGCCAACCGGATAATGTTGCTTACGGGACGTTACGCCATTGCAGCCAATCATGCTGTTTTATTTCTTGATATAGTCAGATTTGTGTCATAGCTCTCTTCAGGAATCCAGTTTTTGTGGTCTGTTTTTGTGTTTCCTTTTCTCCTCCACCAGGTGGTGCCCCGTCTTCATTGGGCCTCCCTGCACACCTGCAGCTCGTTGCCTCATTGCCTGAGGACTCTTAAGCTGCTGGCTGCCACTGCCTCAACGCCAGAGTGTTTGCCAGTTTGGGGTACTCTAGCCATGCTTAGTTTATCAGAGTCTAACCAGAGTTTTTGTTTTGCCAGTTTGGGTACTCTAGCCAAGCTGAGTTTTAGCTGAGTCAAACTGAGTTTTAGTTTACCTGAGTTTTAATCTTGCTGTTGTTGTCTTTGCCTCTCGGCAGGAAGTCATCCTGCAAACTGGATGTTTCGGACCTTCTCTCCCCTGGAAGGATCTTCTGAGAACCAAACTGAGCTGAGGATTCAAGTTTGTGGTTTGGATCAACCCTTTCCCCCAAGAATAGTCTGGGGCTTCTCTCTGAGCAGGGGATTCATCTCCACAATAACCTGTTCAAGTTCCACAGGAAATCTCAGTGGCACTCAGCTTCTCCGTTCACCAAGGAACAACCGCAGTCTGGGTAAACCCTGTCCGCCCTCCATCAACAAGACAATCACTGGAACATCCCACACAGACTGGATTCAATAAAAGACACCGTTTTCTGGAAACGTGAGTCTGCAACCTATTCCTCCTCTTCAAGTCAAAGAATCTAATTTCCCACTGAGCCTGAACTAACCGCAGTATCTTCCCCCTTCACTTTCCAGTTCTGGTTCGACAGTGTTCAGAGCAGCAGCTGGACTCATCTCATTATACTAAATAAACCTGTTAAACTTTTCCGTTCTCTCTCTGTCTTCTGCATTTGGGTCCGATCTTTAGTTAAATCATGACAGTTTTTTAGCATAAAAAAAATATATTAACTAGGTCCGTTAAAGGCATTAGGTCTTAAAAACAGACATTGCATGTCCGTTTGACAAGGATCTTAATAAAGAATGATCAGCACTTTTTCACAGAGAATTCAATATTTATAGGGAGAGGATTCTACAACTCAACTAGCAGGATATGAAATGTATTTGTTTTTAGTTTGTTTGAAATGCTTGACATGCGGATCATTTTATTTTTTTTAAATCTATTTTTACAGTACATTAAGAACTACTGAAATAATTTTCAGATTACACTTAAATAGGGGAATTAATTCTGTGGGAGGAAAAGGAATTACTTCAGGGATTGGATTAGGATTCATTCAGTGATAACACCCTACTGGCACAGCCATTCTATGGGACTTATAACATCTTATACTGTAGTGCCGGTACTGATACTGAAATACCGATTTCAATGTAAATTTTAGTTGACAATAAAGTTGTTGATTGATTTTTTAATAAGGGACCATTTGTTGAGATGATAACATCCGTTGCAGCTGCAAACAGCCACTTAGTATTTACTCTGTAAAAGGAGACAGATACAAACTGACATACACACCCATATACACACACACTGAATGTCCAGTGAGATTGTCTGCTAAAATTGCTGACATGGAGGGAACAGTATATGCAGGGAAAAGTGCAGTTCAAATTTGAAGAAACACTTTTGAAAAAACATCATTCTTTAAAAACAAGAAACAGGAGAAAAATGAATAAAATCATCTCTGATGGCTAAAAACTTCAAATGCACATGGAACAAATTCGTTTTTCAGTCTGTAGTGGTTACACTTTAGGTAACACTAGCTGAGAAACTCTCCCGTCAGCAGCCATTAATCTGTCAGAATGCCAGAACTAAAGCAGGAAGTAATTAGGAGGTGGAGTAGGTATATAGAGATGAAAAGTAGTACAGGAAAGTGCTGCAGTGGTCTGGGCATGTCCAGCCATAACCATCTTTCTCTGAGATCATACAGAACTTGTTTTTCACAAAGCTTTCTTGTTATAGAATATTCTGTTTTTGTCAGATTTTAAAAGTTACACATTTGCAATTTTTAAAGTATCCATGGCTACTGTTTGTTGGATCATGCTTGTGTTTCTCTGCCAGACTGGTTCTGTATCAGCCTCTGCAGAAGGTAAGTTAAATTGCCTTTTAAGTGTTTGGAGTTGAGTTGTTCCCGATCTGTGCAGGACTGCACCGCATGCTTTATTTCTGTTATGATTACCCGCAGTCATTATCACAGAGGGCTGCCAGGGTTTTTTGTTTTTTGCAAAAATTTTTTTTTACTCAGTCAGGCTGAGGAAATAAATGTTTTCTGGGTTTTTTGAGGAGAAGCTCTAATGGACTTTTGTATAAGAACTTAGTCAGAGTTACTAGATAGTTAATCGATCTGGTTTTAATGGCAGTGAAAGCAAGTCAACCTGCGGTAAACAAGTCAGCATGGGATTCGGCACAGATTTTGAGAGTCAAAATGTTTAATTTTTGGACACCAAAGACAAATGATTTGAAGGAGGGCTAAAGGAAGCAATCTTTAAGGGAAAGGTATTGCTGAATCGAGGGGGAGGATTGCAGTTTCAGCTTTCAAGTATCTTAAATAAAGTCACGGAACTCATTCCAATTACAGATTTCTCTAATGTGAGCCGAGAGAAATTACACCTGGGTTGGAGTTTAGAAACATCTCCAGTAAAAACTAGAAATCTGGTTAATCTTTTCATGGTGCACGACCCTGATGAATGATTATTTATAGAGGCATTTGGTGAAATTATTGAGGTTTGGTAATCAATGACAACATCATTCTCATGGAAACTGATCGCATGCCTTGCTTTGTTGTAAATGTGTTGCAGTATGGGACCAGAGGTCAGTAAGTTCAATGTAAAAACTGTTATTTTTTCCTGTTCAGTTTGGGAAATGACAGAGTTGTAATCTATATTCAGTTATAACCCCATACATTTTTTTGGAAGGGAACTATGTAATATTTTTTAAGCAGCTTATTTGAGTTAACTTTGAATGCAAAGCTTCTCAGCAACAAGCACTGTGCTCCCGCAATGTCTCAATCCATTTATGGGATTTCAGTGTGAGGTTGCAACTTATGGGTTGAATTATGTTCCTGATATTTTTATTCAAGCAGGCATTTTGCATACAATGTACAATACCTGCTGTTGCTGCTTAACAAACTTGGGCCATGAAATTGGAAAGCTAGTAAAAAAAAAAAAAAAAACAATTAAATTATTACATTAATATATTTTCCCTTGCTAATTTGTAATTTGGTTATTCAACATCCAACCGTTTCATATGGAAGCAAATCGTTACCATATTTAAAATGAAAAAGCATTTTAATTAAGTAAAAGAATGAGCTTTATTAAAGAAGAAAATGAAAATGCAAAAAGGATGGTTGATTACTAATTTCATTTATAAGTCTATTAATGCAGCCACATTCTTAAAATGAAAAAGCATTTCTAAAAATACTTTTTCATTTTAAATATGGTAACGATTTGCTTCCATAGTTTCAAACCAGTTTGAGAGAAATAGTTTTATTGCAAAATTTGATATACAGTATTGACTACTCCAGATGTAGCAGCTTACTGATAATTAAACTGTCACAAATACAGAGCAACGAAATTCACTCTCTGCATTTAACCCATCCCTTTGGGGAGCAATGGGCTGCCATTTGCAGCACCCAGGGAGCAGTCTGGGGTTTTTGCTCAGGGACCCAGAGTGGCAGTCTGTAGGAGTGGGCTTTGAACTCATAACCTCAATATTCTAATCTCAGATTCCAAGATTTGGTAAGATTTTGATTTATCACTTAAAGCTACAGTGTGTAATTTTCAGCGACATCTAACGTCCAGACTGCAGACCGCAGCAACATGAACATCTCCCCCCCCAACAGTACGGCGAGCGTTACGGGACAAAATGTCTTCCACGACGTCCGCATCACCTACCTTCTCAAGTGATGAGGTTTGTTTACATAGATAATTTTACAGATAGTATTTGTGATAGTCTGTGTAGGGTATAGATTTCATGTAGACTACCGTAGTTACTTTCGAGCGTAATCGGCGATCTCGCAATCGCTAGTTTGTTGGCTCTGCGCTGCCGTAGCGCAAAGATGTCTGCCTCCATGGCTGCGAGACCCGCTCCTATGTAATTATAAATAACGAATTCTAAGGCAACGCAAATATTAAGGTTAAGAGGCTGAGCTCGTAGATGATGATAAAAAACATAGTTATGTATAATATATTACATTTCTGACTGTATATCCCTGAAATTATTACACACTGTAGCTTTAACACCACTAGTTGTGAAACAAAGAATGTGATGCAGCACAGCTGCTACCACTCCTCTGATTGGCTGGAAGCTTGACACTGGAGGCATGTTCCATGTCATTTACCCAATCGACTCAAAGAATTTGATTGAACTTTTAGAATCGAAAAAGCTTCCTGGATGGGAAGCGAAATGGTGACCCCAAACTTTTGAACAGTAGAAATATGTAGATCAATTTGAATTCTACAAAGTACCCCCATCTGGTTAACGCCAGCTCACATACCTTTGGTATGGGATACTATAACTCAACCATAAACTCAGAGATCATACACCAAAATGCATTAGATTGTGTTGTGACTTGTTAAATTATATTAATAAAGTTAAAATTTCAACCCTCAGTTTGTTTATCATTCTATATCACTATCAGCATTTGGAAATCATTACATTTTTTAATTGTCAACATAAATGATTCATTCAAATTCATTTTTAAACCAGACATGTCCAAAAATTCCGTTATAGAGTTATGACCGTTCAAATGTTTTGTCAAGAGATTTTATAATGTACATTTCTTTTAATTTAATCCTGTGGGCTATGAGCAGCCAAAATGTATGGACTGATTGGAGCACCTTGCTTTATTCTGTTCTCCATCAAAATCCGGGAGATGTTCAACGCAACAGTTGGATAGAACTGTCAAAGGTGTTAGAGTATTTTAATTAAATTGACAAAGCAATGACATGTTTGCAGAATTTAGTGTTTTGCAGTATTGGCAACTTATCTTTATAAACATCAACAAAGGCAGTGCTCGACATTATATCAGTACATCATAATTATTTATGATACATCATACCAACATAAATCTCTTCATCATCAATAATTTCTGACAGTCATTTATTGAGCTTCAGTAACATTTTACAAACTATTTTCACAGAGTCACAGAGATATTTTGTTGTTGAAAGCTGAACAGCGCTATCAGTGTTGATGTCTATGGGTCTACCTGATTCTCCAGAGACAGAACCAGTGTTGAGAGTACTATCACAGCCTCCAGGTGCATCTGGATGAGTGGGACTTCCTTGTATCTCGCTGGTCAGGGAGCACTATTGCTGGGGAGAAATAGCAAATGGCTGCGGTCTGTGTTGGAGATGAGATAGCTTTTTTAGAAGTCACCTACAAATGTCTTAAGAACATTTCCTACTTTATCCATTGTCAAAATTATTTTTCATGTATTCCATTTTGACTTCAAAAGCTTTGTCTCTGAGAAACTTCTCAACGTAGGTCACCACTATAACCATTTCCTTGTTCTGTTTTTCTTATAGTAGCTTCAGCTGATCTGTTCCTGTTGGCTGAGACTCCATCCTGAAGATAATTATTGGCTGTGCTGCTGACATCAACACCTTTGTTTATAGATGTTGGAGCTTGGCCTGTTTTTCAGTCTAGTCCTGTTTCTCTGCTGGAGGTTTCTTACTAAGCTACTGGATTTGATTAGTCCAACGATCATTTGATAACTTGTTTATTTCTATTTTTGCTGTATACTTAATTTGCAATACATTGTACGGTACTTAGTTTTATTCATTTGGGAAAATAAACAGCTTTCGTTTAATAAATATACATTTTGTGGAAAATTGTTATTGTTTTTTGGGTAATTGAACCCTTTAAATACTGACCCTCCCCCAAACCAAAAAGAAATACCTTGCCACCCTTTTGCCGCCCCTGTTTTAAAAGTCTAGCTTTGCACTGGTTCTTAAACTCTTGAATTCCATCTCTATTCATTTTCAATGTTTTGTGTCTCTGCTGCAGGTCAGAAAATCTCTGCTGTAATTGGAGAGGATGTTATTCTACCATGTGAGGCAAAACAATACCTACCCTTTGAACTTGTGGAATGGAGCAAAGCTGGTCCAATCACACAGTATTTACTTGTTTTTAGAGATTATGATTCAAGAGTCGAGATCCCACAGCAAAGGTACAAGAGTCGAGTAAAGCTGAAGGACCTACAGAATGGAGATGTGTCTCTGATCTTGAAGAACCTGAAGGCTGAGGATAGAGGATTATATGAGTGTTATGTTGTTGGAAAACCGAACCGCAAGAAGAGGGACATCCAACCAATTAGCAAGATCTACCTGGATGTTCTTCCTCCTTCTCCAGGTGAGTCTGTTTGGCTCTTAATCTGAACCTCCAGCAGTTTGATAGTTCTTGGTGTCAGAGAGAAATATGTTAGATCATCTGTTGGTGGTTCCTAAAGATGTTGTTTATGATTCTCTGTAGAATAGCTGGTCTAAATTCATCTTCTACCTGAAAGGCCAGACTAAAACCCGGTTCTGTTCTGCAGGGAACAATCATCGAAACAATGACGATGAAGCGAACACGGATGGAAAGGACACACCTCTAAACAGTCAAAAAGAAATGATGGTTGTTGTGGCTCTTACAGTTGTGTTTGGTATAACTCCGTTCATTCTTTCGCTGATTGTTGGTTTCAGAGCAGTATACTGTTGTTAGCGCTGTTCTTTATTCCATGAAAGAATTGTCTCAAAGTAATGCAAATAAGGGAAGGTTCAGAAACACTTTTTTTATATATTGAGTGAAAGTATTGTTGTTGTCAATACCTTATGGATTCAGAAAAATGAGACATCTTAAATTGTATGAAAGAATATTGACATTAAACTGTTTTGCATGTTGGAAAAGATCAATACTCTTACAAGGAGTGTGCAGGTCAGCTGGCTGGAGTCCTTACAGACATTTTCAACACCTCACTCGACCGACCCCGTAGTGCCAGCATACTTCAAGTGTTCCACCATCGTTCCGGTCCATTTAAAGCCCCAGGTCACCTCATTTAATGACTACCGATCTGTCGCACTGACTCCCATCATGATTAAATGTTTTGAAAGGCTGGTTAAAAAACAAATCGTCTCCAGTATCCTCCCAACTTTGGACCCCTTCCAGTTCGCCTACAGACGGAACCGCTCCACTGAGGACGCCATCTCCTCTGATCTTCACCTGAGCCATGTGGATGCTGTTCCTGGACTTCAGATCAGCTTTCAACACCGTCATCCCACAGCATCTGATAGAAAATGAGGACTGTTAGCTAAAACAACTGAAGCACAAAAAATAAACATTTTAACAGCCGACTGAACCATTAAAGGTACAATTTTCTGAGCAGGAAGGATTAAATTCTGCAGAGGACATATCTGCATGTTTAACTCAGTTATTGATTTTCTAGGAAGACATTTGCATGATAGGAAAACCTGGAGTTTAAAATAAATTATTATCTCCTGTCCTAAGAAAGTACTGATTGTGCAGCCTAATTTGCCCAGGCTGAGCTCATTCTGCTGGCTGTTATCATGGTTTAATTCTATATTTGTTCTACCAGAGGATGTTTCAGCCACTTTTTCTCTACTCAACATCTCTTTAATTAATGAAGTAAGCATTCAGCCAGTATATCTGTGTGCACTTTGAATGTTTTATGAATGCAACTTCTAAGAAGAGTAACAGAATAAAAAGATAAGGGCTGGAATCAAGTTACAGATGTAGAGTTTCACCTTTATTAATGTATGAAATTAGTCAAAGATACCAAGAAAACTATAACAAGACAAAATATGAGGTGGATCCTGCAATAAATAAATAATTTATAAGACAACTCAGGTTCTGGAGTTGTTCTCAGAAGCTCTCCTCCTGTTCATCTCCTCAGAGGTTGGTGTGGTTCTAAGTCTTAGTGGAGCAGAGCTGCAGATGATGAACTGGATCCAAACATCTACCAATGTTTCCAGAAGGAGCTGAGATGCTACAGGGTGAAAGATCTGAAGCAGTCAGACAGAGAACAGAGAACAAAAACAGAATTTTATTTTCAACCACAATCAATAGCTGAAACTATATATACATCTAATTAGATCTGCATCAATAGAAAACAGACTGAACAGACTGGAGATTATTAGATGTATTTTGATAAATTACATCACTGTCATAAAGAATGGGGAACTTGACATTTTTTTTTTACTGAGAGAGTGAAACAATAATTTCACTGATTAAGTAGTTTCAAACTATATGTTATTTTATTTGTAACAGAATGAATATGAGAAATAAAAGAAAGTGAAAAGTCAAGCCAAAGACCTAAAATATTTAAACTGTCAGGGTTTGGTTGTGGTTTAGAGCAGGCATCCCCGCTGTCCTCCCTACCGTGATACCAGGAGACCGCTTCTGGAAGCGCAAGAGTTGTGACAGGCATCTAAGCAGCCTCAGTGTTCAGTCATGATGTGGGAGATTGGAGGAGAGCTGCTGTCAGTATGATAGAGTTTTGATAGATTCTAGGAATAGATTGGTTAGAAAAACAACCAATCTAGTTGCTTAAAACTATTTTGGTGAGAATAAACAATGTAATGATCCAAATCTGAGCGAGCCACCGGACACAGTTAGTGTTAGCACATTAGCATTAACCAGTATTTTCTCTATTCTATGGTTGTTCATATTAGTGGCGTCATCTGTAAGACACAGGCTCTCACCCTAGAGGTTGATGGTTTAAAACTTGACTTTGACTTTTGAAATTTAATAATTTTGGCTAATGAATGTAATTTGCATTGCTTTGCCCTAGTAAAAATATAGATTGGGTAAAAACGCTGCCAAATTAGGTCGGTTTAGCCAAAAGATTGGTTGAACACAACTTCTGACTGAATAAAACCAAACAATGTGGAAAAACTATTATGTTTGAATAAAAATGACTAACACCTTTCATTTTGCTCATCATTGCCCAATTTGCACAAACACTTTCACTGTCTGCTTGAGCTTATTTCACTACAATGGTAGAAAAACTGTGCATCTTAAATGATTGTTCTAAGAAATTTTACACTTAAGAAACATTACAATCAGCAACAGCGACGGGAAACCAGCAACAACAGAGGAACCAAATGTGTCCCTTCTAGTACTAAATATTATAAACAAATAGAAGTATCATCAGCCAATAGGTGAGTATTAAAGTCCAGGCAGGTAAGAGGGAATTTATCAATAAAAAGTTAAACAGAAGAGGTCAAAGTGAGGGACCATGCGGCACATTTCTTTCTTTTATGCAAAATTCTGATGTCAAGTCAGGATTCCATCTTAAAATCTCCTTTAATACCAGCTTCTCTATAAAATATGCCTAAATCCAGAATTGTATAACAGCTTAATGGATATGAAAATTCATCCATCCATTTTCCCTCACGCTTATCCCGCTGGGGTAACGAGGGGTGCTGGTGCCTATCTCCAGCTGTCTACGGGCGAGAGGCGGGGTCCACCCTGGACAGGTTGCCAGTTCATCGCAGGGCAACACAAAGACAAACAACCATTCACACCTCAGGAGAATTTAGAGAAGCCAATTAACCTAACAGATTTGCTTTTGGATATTGGGAGAAAGCCGGAGTACCCGGAGAGAACCCACGCATGCTCAGGGAGAACATGCAAACTCCATGCAGAAAGACCCCGGGCTGGGAATTGAACCCGGAACCTTCTTGCTGGAAACCTGCAGTGCTACCTACTGCCCCACTGTGCAGCCCTACATACCTTCAGAAAAATAAAACTTAAAATTTACTTAAAATACAATCCCTTCATCCTCTGACGTGGAGCTCGCTTGGAGCTCGTCTGCCTGGCTGTGTTTCCTGGATGGGGAAGCCTTTTACAGTTTCCTTTTGTATCTATGCTCCTTTTTCTATGTCTGCTTCTGTCTCCTTCAACTTGAGTCGGGCTTGGCAGATGGCCGCTCACACTGAGCCTGGTTCTGCTGGAGGTTTCTTTCTGTTAGAAGTGAGTTTTTCCCCTCCACTGTCACTAGAAGCATGCTTAGTGTGAGGGATTGCTGAAGAGTCAATGATTTAATGGAATCAACTGGTTTTCCGTAGAAAGATAACCTTGAATCATATTGACTGCATGATCTTCTGAACTGCGAAGTGCCCTGAGATGAAGTGCGTTGTGAATTGGTGGTTTATAAATAAGCTGTATTGAAACGTGAAACCGAATAAGATCACTCAACATATATACAAGAAGCAGCAACAACAAAGCTGTAAATACGTAAGTAAGGTCCTTCAAGTGCTGTAAACCAAAGAGAGCAATTCTTCTCATTTTCCTGGACAAATTTGCTTTAGTTGCAACAATTATATTTCTAAATCTTTCTTTCTCCGCAATCAAAAAGTGTCTGATTCTGTTTTTTACTGTGGAGTAGAAATCTGTGATGGTGGTTCTGGTCGTCTCAAACCAAGTTACCATCCTTCTTCTGGTTTGGACTAACAATGAGGACATTTTCCTCCAAGTTGTTCCAAAATTGTTTCCAGCAAATCTAAAAAGCTTCCTCGGCCATTTCAGGATGTGTCCAATAAGTTGGTTTCTCTGAGGTTCTGGTTCTGTTTGCAGCTTTTCTGCGTCATTTTGAGTTGGGACCAGACAAAGAGCGAAACACATGAGAGGAGACAGAGACACTGACTTACCTGCTTCAGGTTTGGCTTCTTCACAACCGTATTCATCTCCTGGTTTAACATTTATATTTCTAACTATCTGAACAGCTGTAGGTTTCGTTTGGATCCCAGTTGATCCGTGGTGTTCTCCAGGGAAACTTGTTGCTTCTGCATCGATTGTCTCATTATTCTCACGGGATGTTTCTTGGTAGGTTTTAGCAGAGATAGTAGCTCCGTGCTTCTGTGTCTCTGCATTCGAAGCAATGCTGGTCGTATCTAAAAATGAGCCTGCATGCGTCTGAGGAGGCTTCATGTCTCTGAGGTTCTTTATAATCAGATCTGGTTTAGCTGCAGGTAAATCCACGTGGAAAGCTTTAAATTCAGTTTGTGTCAGAGGCGATGTGTTTTCTCCTTCAGGGTTTCTGCCAGGGTTCTGCAGAGACACTTGGTTGTAGATAGAACGGACCGCAGCGCTGGAGGTCACGGTGCTTTGCGTTGAATTATACAAATTCAGCCCCAGAGAAAGACAGCGAAGAAAGGAAACCATGTTGCTTAATCTAAACACAAAAAAATCCTTTTAAAACAGAAAATATTATTGTTGAATTCTCCAATAAAACCAACACTGCAGCCAACCAGCAAACCTTCAAACGGTTTTACCACTGAGCAGGTCTGCCTTTACAGGAATCCACTTCGAAGGAGTGATGACGTCACAGCCTGCCGCGTCATAGCTGTGGGCGGGTCAGGCAATGGGCGGTTCTTGTTGCCTAGCAACGTGCTGCACAGCGGGAATTCTGAACGCCAGTCACGTGACATGAGCGCTGCAGCCGTGCCGCGTGTTGTGGAGCTGACCATAGATATCCATAATAAAGGCTAGATGTCTCGTCCGTGCTGCTGGCCAATGGGGGTCGACGTCCGCACGTGGCGGCCATCTTGCCACAGGCAGCTCGCTCATTCGTAACATTGTGTTTTAAAGGCGCATGTACTGAAATAACCATAACTTCCTCAATTGTCTAACGATTCTCAAACTGTTTGGTTTGTTAAACAAAAGTCAGACATGTAGTTATGATACTGCACACTTATGAATAATTATAACCATGGAATTTCATATGAAAAAAACATTGAATAGAACATACAGGTGCAATAAATATAAACATGCACAAGGTATTTATGTTAAATCAATATATGCTATTAAAACTCAGTGTACTGAATGGCAACATGATATATATATATATATATATATATATATACACTTTTATTTGGGTGTGATTAATTATTTCACAGTCCTAATTTATTTATATTTACATACATACTTTTATAATATGAATATTATTGTTATAATAAAATATGAAATACTGACAAAAAAGGCTTATTGTGTGGCAACCTCTTGGTGTAGCAGCATAATCCAGGTTTCAAATTAAAGGTAACACTTTGAAGTTTCATGCAGACTATTCGGATTATATATCAGGGGTAATTACACAAAAGTTCCTATTTTTAAACCATTATAATAGTGACATTTATTTGCTATTAAAATTGGTGCAATAGTCCCCTTCACAAGTATATATAGATGAAGCATGTTGAAATCCCCACCTACACTACTGTGATGGTATACACATGGAAGACAGAGATTTAAAAAATGACCCAAAAAACATAGCTTGGCTAATGCCCTTTGAAAAGGAAGGTTTTATTGAGCTTCTGTGTAATGTACAAGAGAGCGTTGTCCACAAGGCCATCAAAGCGGACAGGAAGGTAGCTGTGGTCATGTACTAGTGCAGGAATGTCAGCAAACGGGGATGGAAGATCTTCTCCTCCTGCTTACACATTATATAACCTGCAGAAACAAAAACAAAAGTGACCAACAACAATTCACAGTGTATAAGATTGGTATATCAATATGTGATTAAATTTCAATGATACACATGCCCTTTGAAGATGAGCTGGAAAGTTGAAAATGTTTGGCACAACACCATCTTTAAGTTGTCCAAATGAAACTAATACAAACTTATAAAAGCTTTGAGTCAACAACAATCTTGTAATACTATTATGTCATAGCAAAAGTCTCGCATCTTCCTTTTAATAAACCCAGCAAATTCCTGTAACATAATGTAAGATGTGTTGACAAACCAAATCGATTGGAAATCATGTTAAATTCTGCCTCTTCCACTGATGTAAAGTTGGTGGTTAACGTTAGCAGCTAGCTAAACTGTAACGTTAGCTGCTAACTTACTAACGTTAGGTCTCACTTTGCAGCTTCTTGTTATTAGCCAGCTAACGTTAGGCTAATAATGAAAATACAACAACACTCAGATTATTGTTATTAGCCAACTAATAACTACAACCACATCCACAAATATTGTAATTTACACCAAAGATTAATTGTCATACAATCGTTATTGGTGTCAGTAAAACCTATATAATTGACCAATAGTCTCAGCCTTGATAACTTGCGCAAGTAGCCGTGATGCACAACTATGCTGCACGATTAAGTCATTTTTCGACAAGAAAATCTGCAATTTCGACATGTTCAAGCATCTAGAATTATAGCCACGTTCATAATGATTGTAAGAAACCAAACTGTTTGTAAATCCGTCAAGAATTCAGTGAGATAAGAGTATTTGTGTTCGTGCTGATCACTCACCTTACATTAGGTACCATAGAGCACACCAGAAAGCCTGCCTGAGGTAAGATGGCCGCCGGTGATGACGTTTGAGACTCCGCCGTAAGACATCTAGCCTTTATTATGGATATCTATGGTGGAGCTGACCGCAGAGAGCGGACAGGTAATGGGGGCGCGTAAGGACACGCGCAGCCTCCTGCTCCACCTGAGAGCTCAGAGAGACGGATTCTAGGCTGGTTTCCTGTCACAATATAAGCACTTTGATCTGCGCTGATATTCTCTCTTTTAACACTCTGTTGGTAACGAAGAGGCTCTGAACTTCTACTGCAAAGCTAATAATTGATTAATGATTGACATTAATTATACACTCATTTTTCTCTATTCTAATTTTCAGATTTACTTTCTATAACAAGCTTTTTGTTAGGTCTGAAAATAAATAAATAATTGAAATCATTTTCTGTTGGTTTTCATATATTTATAGGTTTGTCTGTTAGTGGCTGTTCATCAGACAGTTTTTTTTTATGATTTCCTATCTTACATATAAGTCTATGTTTCTGAGTTAATATATTGCTTTGCTCTACAAAAAATAAAAACTAAAAGACATATTTAAAAAGACCTTTTATAATTCCTTTAACCATTTAGGATAGGGCTATGTGTTACAAAAAACACTTTATACTGTTGTTATGCTGATGATACTCTGCTATATCTGTCTATAAAACCAAATGAATCTAACCCATTACATAGATTATAGGCATCTTGAAGACAAAAAACCCTGGATGACTCAACATTCTGCTTCTGAATACATTAATTAAATTAATGCATAAATTAAAGCGACCTTTATTTGATTTATTTACATTTTGCCTCTTTTTTATTTATTATTTTTAGTTTCTCTGAAAATGTATGCTTTAAAGCATTGCCTGATCAGATTTGAGAGAAATTTTATGTATTTTTTTTTATCAAAATGCCTTGAAAGAAATCCTTCAATTATATATATTATATATATAGCAACTGCTAACTAATGTAACACTACCTGATCAGGAGTAGAGAGGAAACAAAGAAAATGACCAATTAAAGCTTCTTTAAAGACAGCTGATGTTGAAACTCCCGAATACTGTAGAACATGGACAAACATCCACCAGTGGGAGACAAACTACTTTACTGAATTAGTAACAGACAAGCTTCGAACAAAACAAAATAATCTGTGTTTTTCCCATAGTGGAAAAAATAAGGTGTATTAGAAGGAAGGAAAGGGTTTTCCTAAAACGGGATAGAGGGCCTAAAATATAAACATGATACATGAACATTTGTGATGAACTGGACTGACTTCTTATTGTTTGCATCTACAGCAGGTGAATAAGTATTGAACACACCACTATTTTTCTCAGTAAATATATTTCTAGATGTGCTATTGTCATGACATTTTCACCAGAAGTCAATAACAATCCATGCAATCCATATATACAAAGAAAGTAAACCCTAGATGTCCAGACATTAAGCTATGTGCACTGCAAAAAATATAAATCTCAATAAGTTATTTTTTCTTAAAATAAGTGTGCTTTTCCTTGATTTGAGGAGGTAAGTAAGACACTTTGCCAATGGAACAAGACAATTTCCTTTTAAAATAAGAAAAAACTATTTTATCGTCTTATTTCAAGTAAATATTATCTAACTATCTTATTTTAAGAGTGAAAATACTCATTCCATTGGCAAATCATCTTATTTACCTGCTCAAATTAAGGCTAAATATACTTAATTTAAGCCATTTTTTACTTATTTCTGGATTGTTTTTGCAGTGAATAATGAGGAATGGCACAGGGAAAAAGTATTGTGACATATAATATAAAATGATATATATCCATTTTCAGCCATGGTTTGCGATGATATAGCTGAGAAATTGTTATGTTGTAGGAAAAGGATTCTTGCCCCGGAGCCCAAAGTGATTGCGTGATCAATTGCACAGCACAAGCATTTTTTAACCCGCAGTGAGCAATTCCTTCAGCACCACAAGACTATCAATCTGTGACTTTGTTTGGCCAAATATTTCTTTATTCGCCACAGCAATAGATAACTACTTTTAGGCTGAACTGTATGGGTGCTCTACAGTGCCTCCTGGTTAAAAACATACCAGTCAGTGAAACTTATAGAAGAAAAACAAATCTTTACTTATGTTGCTTGTATATCTGGAAACTTAAAATAAATGTCCAACAAGGTATATGCAGAGCTTTATATTGGGGAAAGAATGCAACCTCATTACTAATAGGATAGCTCAACACAAAACAGAAGCATGGTTCAGCACAGTAAGTGCTAGCTCCTTAGTGCAGGACTCAGCTTAATATACATACATTCTGTTAGAAAACAATGATTTGAGTGAGAAGTGAAGGAGGCCATTAACACAGGCAGAGCTGGAGCAAGATATGCCAAAAACTCTGATGCTCATATAGGACAACTGACTGAGGAAAGACAGTAAAAGGAAATTTAGGTCAGTGCAAAGCAGCCATGAAGAACATCTCCACCAAACCTTGGTCCATAGTTCTTGCCTAGTTCTTCCCCTAAATGGTAAATGGCATGTACTTATATAGCGCCTTTTTTTCAAGTCAGGAGACTTGACCAAAGAGCTTTACACTACATTCATTCACCCATTCAAGCACACACTCATGGTGGCAAGCTACACTGTAGCCACAGCTGCCCTGGGTCTCATTGACAGAAGCGGGGCTGCCGTACACTGGCGCCACCGGGCCCTCTGACCACCATCAGTAGACAATGCAGGTGAAGTGTCTTGCCCAAAGACACAATGACACTGAAAATCGGAGTCGGGGCTTGAACCGTCAATCCTTCGATTTCAGGGCAAACTCCTGCATCCAACACCACTGTCGCCCACTGTTCCCCTAATCAGGTCAGACGAGAGTTCCTCCATAAAGTGCAGGATTTCAAGTATCTTAGGGTGCTCTGCCCACAGGATGGGAGAAATGAGCTGGAGATCCAAAGATGGATTAGTGCAGATGCCATAATGTGGACCCTATACGGGTCTGTTCTGTAAAATTGACAAAGGCAAATGCCAAGCTCTTGATTTATTGGTTATTCAACATTTCTATCCTTATCAGGAAATCTGGATCATGAGATCTCTTTACTGAAAGGAGTTTTCTCCCTGGGGAAGCCAGGCACCCTTTTAGAGATAGGGTGCCAAGCTTGGGTCATCAGGGAGAGTCTAGGATGAGAGCCTGTCACGCCAAGAGCCATGATATCAAACTCGGATATTGGACCTCCCCTGGAGGAGGTCCAGGGGATTGCCTAGGACCCAGTGGTTGTAATATGTCTCTTGGCTGGCCTTAAGTGCAATGGGCTTCCCACAGAGGAACTGGAGTAGGTGTGTAAGGGGAGCGGAGTCTGGCCATATCTGTTGAAACCACCACCCGATGTGCAGGTATTGAAACCATTTCTGCTGTGGTGCCTGGCCGGCGCTCAGTTGCACTGGTGCTTCTTTTGGCATTGGGGCAACCTTGAGTTGGCGGAACATATTTTAAACATCATCTAGTAGGTGCTCCCACCTAGAGGGGATACTCTTTGGAAGTTAGCTTAATGCAGGGGTGGGTTTAGACCCTATGCTTTCCTATGTGTTGGGTAAGAGAATGGGGCAGCCCCGGATAACAACTACACTAATGATGCCCTGTTGTTAGAAGAGGCCAACCTGCAGGTGGAGTTAGCTCTGCAGAACAGAACATTCCTACACCTTAAAGTTGCAATCATCTCAGTCTAAAGTCCTGTTGTTTTGTTTTGAATCTATTTTGAAGAGTTCAGGAATGTGTTATGAATGTAAAGATTAACAAAAGAATCAAATGTTTACAACATGGTTAGAATAACAGAGAAAGGTCAAATGAAGGACAGATTGGATCTCAGGGATGTGATGCTGCTAACCCACAGCCAGGGCCCAGTTGGTGGAGATACGTGTCTTTACATCATTGGCTGCTTCATGTTCCTGCAGCCCCTCAACCACAGAGGAAGAGGAGGGTTTTATTCTCAGCCTCTGAACATCTCTATCAGAGCTCTGAGAGACACAATGAAGGAAACATCTGTCAGATTTCTGCTCAGTAAGTAGAGATTCTTTCTGAACATTTCCTGGGTTTCTGTAGATAACTGATGATGGAGGAGAGGCTGGGAAACAGCCTGGAACTGGGTTAAAACACACTGAGGAGAAGTTCTACTGGAATCTGAAGAGAACAGACGAAACATAGAAAATATTAATAGAACTTTGTCACAGAGAGGTATTTACTACCTGCAGGAACAACATTTAGAGTAACGGTCTGAATGGAAACTATTAGAGGTGTAAAACTCTCTTTATGCAAGAAATGATGAAGTTTTTAGTTCTAAGGGATTTTTCCTCTCTTTCTAGTTCTGAGCTCGGTGCTGAGCTGCACAACAAACCAAGGTTAGTTCAATTCCTGTTTAACATCCCAATATTCAGATTTAGCATCCGGAGAAGATAAACTTGATGTTTACTTTGATGGGATCATAAAATGCTTGTTAGTTCTTCACACTGGATCTGAAACAAGTTCTATAAACAAGTTATTTTCCTTTTTAGCTGCTCTGACTGTGAGTCCCAGCAGATCTCAATTCTTTCCTAGAGACTCTGTGTCTCTGAGCTGTGAGGAGAACAACAGCTCTGCTGGATGGACTGTATGGAGGAACACAACCAGAGGAACCAGGACTCAGTGTGGATATGGATGGGGAAAACCAGCTGGATCTACCTGTAACATCAGCTGGTTGTTCATATCAGACAGTGGAGTTTACTGGTGTTGGTCGTCCAGAGAGGGAGCAGCCAGCAGCAGCATCCAGCTCACTGTCACTGGTAAGATCAGACTGTGGAGTTAGTGTTGATGAAGCTGTGTGGAAATGGATGAAATGCTGTAGTTTGTCTCTGTGTTGAGGTGGATCAGTGATCCTGCAGAGTCCTGTCCTCCCTGTGATGGAGGGAGATGACGTCACTCTGAGCTGTCTAACAGAGACCACTCCCTCCAACCTCCCAGCTGCTTTCTATAAAGATGGCTCCCTCATCAGGACTGAGCCCAAAGGTCACATGACCCTCCACCATGTGACCAGCTCTGATGAAGGCCTCTACAGGTGTAACATCAGGGGTCATGGAGAGTCTCCATCCAGCTGGATCTCTGTTGAAGGTCAGCAGCGTTTCTATGTTTTCGACTCCAAAATTATGCAAAGTTACCTGATATGTTTTAGGTCTCTTTACGTGTTAATCTACATCTCCACTCATATCTATATCTATACACATATAAACAGATCTTTCAAAAGCTCCAGACCAGACTCTTTCTTCATTCTCCTCAAATGGTGTCCTTCGTATTTTTATCCACCTGGTTGTGTTTTGTCCTTACCTCATCTCCACTCTACTGATGATATGTTTATATCAAGAAAGAAAAGGTATCCCTTTAGACTCACTTATCATTTTATCAATTTTTTTTCCAGTGTTTAAAAACAGATATTTAATCTAATTGTCACTTATTTAATTTGCAGAAGATAATCTGCCCATCTGAGTGGTAATGACTTCTTCAACTCAGGCTGAATAAGGAATGGATGATTGTGTCCTGTTATTGTAGAGAATCATGTATTAATCCTTAGAGTTAGAAGTTTTTACATTAAGGAGAAAAGAACATGAAAAGTTTTTTTCAAAATCAGAATAAGCAAACAACCAATTGCACATTCTCGTCCTTTTTAAAAGGACAGTACCAACTGGAAAAACAGCTTTGTAAAATTTCACTTTGATATTTACATAGTTTGACAGAAGCTAGCCTTTTTTTTTTTTTTATTGTTTTACATCATCGAATGTAATGTTCTGCATTAGCAGTCTGTGGTTATCCTGTTCTTTCTGTTCACTGCTTGTCAGATTTCCTGTCAGCAGAGAAAAACTTTTGGTGAGCACCAAGGTGTTTCATTTAAGAAAGGCTTGAACTTTAAAACATATCACAAGTTGTGATGTTTAAAATTATGAAGTATATGTTTTAATAAATCCTACTTTCATTTTTTTTTGCTGTCACTTTTCTTTGAATTTTTTTCTGGTCAGGATGATTTTAAACAGTCAGGCTACACTGAGCATGGCGTGTTTATCTATTAAAACCACAGAAACCACCTGCTGGTCCCATCTGACTTCCCCTCACATGTTAATGCAGCCTTGGCCTGTCAGAGTTTCCATGGTGTCTGGTCTAAAGATGCTCATGTTTGCATAAATGTGCGTAACAAACAGGTTGCTTTTTACTTTGTTTGGTTTCAGCTGTTGTGGACCCCTTTCAGCCCTCTATTTCAGGAACACAGAATTATTATATTAACAGTTATACCAACTACAGATAATTACTTATAATTAAGTGATCTTTCATCAGTTCTAAGGACCTCTAAATGCTTGTCCACAGCAAATGCTAATGCAGCTAATTTTCATGTGGTTTCCCTGTAAATGGTTTCTTGAAATTCTGCTCTCTCTTGCAAACAATGTGCAGAAATGCATGTGCAGAAGGCAAAAGCAGTTTTCCAGGTGCTCTAAATAAATAGAGCGAGTAGGAGTGTAGAATGTACCAAGTTCCAAAAATGGGGTTGTTTTAAAGTTTGGATTTATATGGATGTCACTGAACAACTTGACAAGGGCAGTCTCTGTACTGTGGTGAGGAAGGAAGACTAACTGGAGGATGTTGAACCGGCTGTAATTGTAAGAAGGGGTTTAACTGTTGAAACAAAACGTACGTGTCAATAATCTCACTGATTAGGGGGAGCGTTGAGACGGGACTGTAATTCTGCAGGACAAATTTGTCTAAGTTTCTCTTTTAATGGCTGCAGTTTTTTTTGGGGCCTGTGGGAAATCATCTGACAAAAGGCAAATTGTTGTGATTTAACTTAAATCAGATGTTGTAACAAACAGAGATATCTTAAAGCAAGCTTTCAGTAAGACATTGATAGAGCAGGAGAAAGTACTTAGTTGTAAGATTTTGAAAACGAAGTTCTCACCGGTTATTTGGTGATATTAGGAAATCTTTTCAAGATGATCTCTAGTTGTACTGGACTGTAATGGATGTAGAGAATGCCGATCTAATCTTTTAGGTGTTTTTCATTTAAGAAAGTGATTTTTACTTTCTCTTGTCCTTTAAGCTTTTATTGGCTCTTTCTGTCCTGTATTAGCACAGGGATTGTAGGACTATCTCCCATCTACCATTAGAAGAAGTTGACCTGACTTGAAAAAGTGCTATATAAGTACAGGTCATTTACTATCTTACATCAGAGATCTGATTGTTCCTTATGTTCCTAACAGAGCACTTCGCTCTCAATCTGCAGGTTTACTAGTGGTTCCTAGAATTTCTAAAAGTAGAATGGGAGGCAGATCTTTTAGTCATCAGGCTCCTCTCCTGTGGAACCAACTACCAGTTTTAGTCCGTGAGGCAGACACCCTGTCTACTTTTAAGGCTAGGCTTAAAACTTAAACTATTCCCTTTTGACGAAGATTAGTGGCTTACGTTATCCAGAGCTATCTCTATAGTTATGCTGCTATAGGCTTATACTGCTGGAGGACTTAGGGAACCCTATTAATCCTTCAGCTTCATTCTATCTCTAATCTCCCACTCTACAGAATCTGTTCTGCTCTCTCTGCTTTTTCTCATAGTAGCTTCATCTGGTCTGTTCCTGTTTGGCTTTAGCGAAATATCAGCTGTGCTGCTGCCATCAACATCTTTGTACGTAGATGTCAGAGCTTGGCCTGTTTTTCAGTGGCGTCCTGTTTCTCTGACTGCGACTGGCTGGATGTGCTCTCTTCATCTTCTGACATAGGAGTTGGCTCGGAGCTTGTTTGCCTGGTTGTGTGTTTCCTGGACGGGGCCGCATCTGGAGCTGGCTGACAGTTGTCTTTAATATCTCTGCTTTTTATTCTATGTCTGCTTCTGTCTCCTTGAACCCCAGTCAGCTTCGGCAGATGCCCACTCACATTGTGTATGTTTTTGCTAGAGGATCTTCCTGTTAAAAGGGAATGTTGAACAGTTTATATCTCATTAGTATAATGGTTTTGAAATTATCTGAAATATCAGCAAATTTCTGCCTGGCTCTTGGAGTGGAGCTGTCCGTGGTGCTGAAAAGTTGTTAAGACTTTATTATTAGGAATCAAATGTCCAAAGATGCTGCTTTAGAAAAATCTCAAAGAAATGTATATGTTCTCTCTTTGCAATTCTTAAGACAATGTCAGTTTTCTGTTCTATTATTGTTTGATGATATTTTAAGGAATGAACATTGTAGAAGTTCCCGAAGGTTTAGTTAGAATATTTAATAAACCAAAATCAAAAAGTTAGTGAAAGAATGGTTCATAATATTATTTATTAAATGTTAAATAAATTATCTGTTTGCATTTCATAAAAGTTAGATTCTAATTTTTTTTATAAATATTTAAAACAGATATAATCAAAGTGAGATTTGAACTTTATTGGTTTCAAAATGTATCTCTTGTTTATCATTAAATTGCATACAGAAGGGTTGTGGCCTGATAACAGATGTTTTGGTTTAAAAAAAACATGTATGATAAAGATCCATCAACACTTGTTTTATAGTTCAAACATGATTAATACCAACAAAATAACCTAAAACACAACTTTTCCCAGGTTTATCCTGCCTGAAGCTCTTCAGAAATGTGAAGTAGCTCTCTGATAGCTAGGTGTACCTCTGGCAGATGGCACTACGTCCGTTTATGTCTGCTGATTGTATCCAGTGCAATCTAAACGTGTTCATGATGAATGCTGGGTGCATAGAACCTTATTTTATTGTGATCAAATGGTTTTTTATATTTTTTCTGCAGACATATACTGCGGTTATGAAACTTCAGGTAAATCTGAGGCCTGTTTTTGTTTTAACATGGATCCAAATCAGCCAGAAAACAGTGTTTAGACTGAACCAATCCTGACATCACCTCAGCTGAGAACAGTACAAAGGATAAAACCTAATATATCATCATTGTTTTATCTTTTATTTCTGATTTCACTTTTTTTTTTACTTTTGTTCAGGCTGAAGTGGCACAAAAGACAGCAGCTGGACAACTGTTGCTATGGTAACACAATTTTCTTTCAGAAAAAAATTCATTTTAAATTCAGAGCGCAAGTATCAAAGTATAGATCTGCTGTTGGTAGAGCAGGAAACGCATATCGAACATCAGAATATCTAGTTTATATCAACCTCCAGTCAGATAAAAACCCTTTAGTTCTCAGCCATCGATCCGTTTTAAAGCTTTTCATGCTTTGGACTGATTCCTGAGGTAATTCTTACATTTTTAGAAAGGATAATCACGTCTCAGCTGACAGGCCATTTAATTTCCTTCTTCCTTTTATAACATGCTAAATGTGTGAGTCTGACTTTTAAAAGTTAGATGGATTAAAAACAAAAAATAACACATGTCTGCAAGTGGTCAATGGTGAGCATGTAGCACTGACTGATGTGAAAACTTGAGGAACCTTTCTGCTTTTATTGCATTAAAACACATTTTTTTACACAGGAGTATTCATGATAATAACCTTCAGTCTGTCCTTCAGGCCTTTTACCATCTTCTCTGTGGGCCCTCCTTTAAGATGTAAACTAAAGAAATGTTTTTACTTTCTTTTCTTTTTCTGAGCTACGGGGGAAAAGTGGTTTCTAACTAACCTCAACCATCAAAACTTGCTGAAGCTGCATATATGACAGAACTTGAAACTGTTCAACCTCAGAGGCTGTGATAATCGTCTCTGATCTGCCTCAAAGAACCTGCATCAGGTTTTTAGAGGATGTGGTCAGAGGAGTCTGCACACATAAGACGAGTAAACAAAATCTGAACTTTGATTAACTCTGTGCTAAAGTCTTTAAAGTTCACTGCTGTTCAGGAATAAACCAGACCTGCTGATGAACATTATTCGGGTTTTTGCAATGTTAAAAAAAGCTTAGCTGGACTCCAGAGCATAAATCAGAAACATTGTGCTGTTTATATAATAAATAACTTCTGCATTAATCTTTCTTCAAAACTTTCTTCAAACTAAACCTTGATGAGGATAATTCCACAGCTTTCTAAAGCTCTGCAGCTTGCTTTTTATTAACATTTCATTTCCTTCAATCAGTCACTTCCTGCAACCCCTCAAGCTCAACAGAAGAGGAGGTTTTGAATCTTGTTTAACAAATACGT